GTGCCCTGGCACTGGTCCGAAGCGTGCAATTCAGCATTCAATTTTCTCAAAAATTCGTTTATTATGGCTCCTATTCTTCGCCACTTCGATCCAGACCGCCGCTGCATAGTAGAAGTGGATTCAAGCGACTGGGCCCACGGGGGGATTTTATCTCAGTTTGACAATGAGAATGTACTTCATCCTATTGCATACTTTTCTGGCCGTTTATCTCCATCTCAAGTAAATTACGAAATTTACGATAAGGAACTGCTGGCTATTGTAACTGCTTTTGAGTATTGGCGTCCTGAGCTTCAGGGTACGATTGAACCCATCTCCGTCATAAGCGATCATAAGAACCTAGAATACTTCATGTCAACTAAAAATCTAAATAGACGTCAAGCTAGATGGTCCGAATTTCTTTCAAGGTTTAATTTTGTGATTAGTTATCGTCCCGGGAAACTTGGTGGCAAGCCTGACGCTCTCACACGTCGATCTGAGGATATTCCGGTCAGAGAGGGAGATGAACGCCTACGTCAACAGCAACAGACAGTACTTAAGTCTCATAATATCGACCCTATGATTATTCAGAGTAGGAAATCTAAACTTGATCTCGCTAATGCAACACTTGACCCCTCAACATTATCCAATCAAATCGAAATCCTTTTCGCCAAAGGATATTTTGAAGATCCTGTACTCCAGAGTTATATCAAGATTCTCAAGGGACCTGGACCATATCGCTCTAAGCATCTAGACCTTTCCCGTTGTAGCCTCAAGGATGATAGACTTTACTATGATAATTTGATTTATGTTCCTGATGAATTGAGTCTGAAGCTCTTATTGCTAAAGTACTGCCATGATCATCCCAATGGAGGTCACCATGGAAGAAACAAGGTCTTTGCAGAAATATCTCGAGATTATTGGTGGCCAAATATACTACAATTTATCTCTCAATACACCAATAATTGTCATGTCTGTAAGCGAATCACTCCTTCCCGTCTTAAGTATCAGGGATTGCTCAAGCAACTCCCGGTACCTCAACGTCGCTGGCGAGATATTTCCGTAGATTTTATAGGACCTTTACCAAAATCGGATGGGTACGATTTCATCATGGTTGTCTGTTGTAGGCTTACCAAAGCTCGCCACTTTATCCCTTGTAGGTCTAGTATAGACGCCGGAGGAACTGCACAACTGTTTTATAAACATATTTGGAAACACCATGGGTTTCCCGAGTCAGTAGTATCAGATAGGGGGCCTCAATTTGTTGCAAAATTCTGGCACGCTGTCTGCGAGCAGACAGGGACTAAAATCCTACTTTCAACTGCGTGGCACCCTGAAACAAATGGTCAAACCGAGAGGTCTAACGCAATTCTAGAGTGTTATCTCCGAGCCTATTGTAATTATCAGCAAGATGATTGGGTTCAATGGCTACCTTCAGCGGAGTTTAATGCTAACAATTCTGAGTCTGAATCCACAAAGATTACCCCATTTTTCGCAAATACAGCACAACATCCGAGATCTGCAATAACCCCTCCTCGAAATCTTAATCAACCATTAACTTCCGAGTACCTCCAAATACAACAAGAACGGGCTAATGATTTTATTAACCAGATGCATAATCTCAATATATTCCTTTGTGAGAATATGAAGGTATCTCAAGCCTTTTATGAGAAACATGCAAATAAACACCGCTCTCCCCCGCCATCCTTCCAGATTGGCGATAAAGTCTTTGTCAACGCAAAGAATATTAAAACTAAAAGACCTAGTAAGAAATTAGATTGGAAAAATCTGGGACCATTCACCATTGTTAGAGTGATAAGTAGTCACAGCTATGAACTACTTCTCCCCGAAAATCTTAAATCCATACACCCCATCTTTCACACAAGCCTTCTTCGACCGGATCCTAATAACCCAATCCCTGGTCAAACAAATGAACCAAATCCACCCATAGAAATCGATGAATTTGGCAAAGATTTATATGAGGTTGACGCAATTCTAGGGTCCAGGCGTTTAAAATCTCGAGGATTTGAATATTGTGTTAAGTATACAGGTCAATTTGAAAATTCATGGCAACCTTTGTCAGATTTGGTAACAGGACACCTATCAGAGTCATTGACAGAATATCACAAGAAATTTCCATGTCGCCTCAAACCCACTCTGAAGGAACTAATGGATGCTAAAACTGAGGCAAAAATAAGCTCTTATACTGCTTAAACGGAGGATGATTTCCAGATGCTGTTGAGACAACAGGCATAGAAGGGGACCTACTGTCATGGTACCTATGGTTCTCGCTTATGACCTGATCTATAAGTCACATGACGCACAATTATCTTACTTATCTGTATGATTGATGCTAGCGTAGGAATGAAGAATAAGTATCTAAGTAGTTGCACTCTAGGATAGATTGTGCAACGTCTTATTAATATATTCTTACCCGTATTTCGTCCTCTCGTACCTCCGATCTGCTTCTGACTCCGTTCCAACGAGACCTACCCGTGATAGATAATAGCTCGATGAGAATTAGTGACTTTTTCCTTGGGAAGATAATCCACCATTAGTCTCCCATTGTAAAAGGTTTAAAGAAGTCAGCAGTACTTGAAGTCGATAACTCAATGGAATGAATAGTTTTTCCTTGGGAAAGCTAAACTACCGCATCGTATCCTGTCCTTTATGTCTTCCGCGTACGCTAGTATTAACACCCCCTTTTAGCCATATGAGAAATCATCCTTTCTCCCGGCACAACTCTTCTCCTGTTTCGTACTCCCCCATCTGGTACGTACCCCCCTTGATACCTCCCTGTGCGCACTATTCGCACTTCCGGGAGCGCTGCCTTATCACGGGCCAACCTTAGAGACGGAGTGGTCCCAGCGACCAGTCTCAACCCGGGAAAAGCCCATCACACATAGACTCACATAGCGCAGCAATCGACATACTCACCTCCAAACCACGATTAATCCTGACAAACACACGACTCCTAGGCATCGTGTCCGGGCACTTGGGTAACATTAGAGAACGACATCTTTCGAAGGGTGCATTTTCATTGCCTCGCAAGAAATCTTTCGTTTTCTTTTTCGAAAGTGGAGGAAATTGAGTTTGGAGGTAAATTTGCAATTCCTGTCAAATGATTGATTAGATAACAAGTGAAAGGGAAATTCTAGGATATTATCGCTTTTCTTTGCGCACCGGGTCATAACCTGTTGTAATGAAAGTTGGGTAGAGAAGCTTAAGCTGTTAGACTTGTGTATGTTACCACCTAGTGTGTTACGGGCTGTGCCCGGATTGGGACTGGTCACTAGGACCAACCCGGCTAGATCTTTAAGCGCCAAGGAAGCAGCGCTTACAGAGACGCGAAAGGTTGCATGGGGAAGAATGCAAGGATACGTACAAAGAGGGATCTAAGTGTCGCATAAGGATTAATGCAAGGTTGCGCACAAGAACGAGTCTCAGTGTTGCATAAGGATAATTGCAAGGTTGCGCATAAGGAAAGGCCTAAATGCCGCATAAGGATTAATGCAAGGTTGCGCACAAGAACGAGTCTCAGTGTTGCATAAGGATAATTGCAAGGTTGCGCATAAGGAAAGGCCTAAATGCCGCATAAGGATTAATGCAAGGTTGCGCACAAGAACGAGTCTCAGTGTTGCATAAGGATAATTGCAAGGTTGCGCATGAGGAAGGACCCAAGGGAGTACGTACTAAGGGGGGGAGGATGTCACAGGAAAGAGGGTAGCCGGGGAGAATGGAGTATTCTCAGGTAGGCTAGGAGGGGAGCTTAAACGCGACGCTGAGGAGGACATAAAGGACAGGAGCCGTCGCAGGCAGATTAGCTTCCCAAGGAAAAATTATCAATTCCTATTGAGTTAACGTCTTTCAAGTACTTCTGAATTCTTTAAACCCTTTACATAGTGAGGCGATTAGGGACATTGAAGAGTCATTGATTAAACCCACTAATTATCAGTATTTATAGAACTTAGAATAATTCGGGCTATCAAGTAGGCCACATTGTCGGTACACACGTGACTGCAAATTCTGTACTCAGTTTGACTTCGGTAGTTACTTGAATCAATGCTTTCTACAACCTCAATGACTGAGGAGTCATTATTTCCTTAATAAGAGTGCTATATAAAACTAATTATTATAAGGAAATAATGACCCCTCAGTCATTGAGGTTGTAGAGCGCATTGATTCAAGTAACTACCGAAGTCAAACTAAGTACAGAATTTGTAGTCACGTGTATATCAGCAACGTGGCCCACTTGATAGCCCCAATTATTCTAAATTCTAACAATAATTACCATTAAGCAAAGGATACAATTTTTTTTGAACCATATTGTACACAGCTATCTAGCTATCATAAAGAGGACTCGATTTACTTGCTTAATCTAGATAATTGTATGGCTGGTCAATGTAAGTGTCATGGGTAGACGTTCTCGATTCAGGGCTTAAGCGAAAGATTTAAAGAGCAGGTCTTTGGCATACTTATCACTCGGAATTATATGGTGGGAGCAGATAATGCGCAAACTAGAATGAATCTTGTCGAGGTCAGGGGTCGAGTCATGATTAGAACTCGCTTTAGTCTGAGTTGCATTGTGTTACATAGTTTAGTTGTACTTAAGGAAACTGGAGCTACTACAAAGTAGTTCTCCAGATTTCCAATCTTTTAATATCTTAAACTTATATTCTTATATCACTATCATATCGTACTTTTCGCAATTTCGTACCTACTCGTCATATCACTTTGTTGAATCCTCGTCTCGCTCGTCTTCACCTCCTGGTACCTCGTCAGTTCAGTCCTCAATCTACATGCTAAATTATTATCCCCTCGTACTTAAACTCCTAGCCAATACTAGGATACCTTCAGTAGACGGCGATCTTGGGAGTCACTAGTGCATGCCGTAAAAATCGGTGCTCTTCTTCCAAGAATCTGATAATTTGCCTCCACTTCCAACCTAAAGACATGTGGTGTTATTTCGACCTGATGGCAATTTTATGAAATCATTACTAACGATGAAAAGCCGATATCATGGTCTAACTTCGACGTGATGTGAATATTTTGTTCTTGATTCTTCCAGCTAAAGGTGTTTAGATTGTCAGCAACACTCGAGCTAGAGAGAGCGATACTTTCATGCGATAATAAATATATCTTACCTCTTATGTCCTTGACAGCTTTGTCGAATGCTAGTATCATTTCCCTGCACATAGATCCACAATCTAGAGGTGTTTCTGTATAAATTTTATGTTTATGAAACAGAATGGTCCGTAGCTTTAGAGCTAGTTCCTTATGCCCTTCAAAACTGGGCGTGAACTGATCCAGAAGGGGTGACAAAGGTGTGATCTCACTAAGTTTTCTATAGTAGCAATTTAATAAACTTTTTTTACACCAATCGTTCAGATTTTTAGACTTCCTGTCATTGACAAATTCGTATTCTATGCATCCTACAATGAACACATAGAAAAAAGATTCTAGGTCATGGCGACAAGTCCGTCGGATGGGAAAATTCGATTTTGCAGCCGAACGTAGTCTCTCAAGCGCCATAAACTTCACAGTACCTATTGAGAACCCGACATTTTCCTCAACCGGATTTCTTTTCATCTTAAAGGACTGATCTAAATCAATTAGCATCCCGTGTAAGTCACCGTCTGAAGTTGGCTTCAATAAGATTATATTTCCTTCGGAAATGTCTCCATGAAGAATTCCCTTGCCTACAAGGCCCTGATGTCCCTTGATTGCATCCCGGATGCCAGCAACAAAATCAAGAATCGACCCACTAGAGTAAATTGGTCGGCCACGTGGTGTTATTGCCATCCTGGTGAGTCGGCGATTTCTCTCCATGGATGGTTTTTTTACTGCGTTTACGTGAGAGCTATTCGAGATGTACCTCTTACCAGCATTAAATTTCCAATGTGTGGCGCGGGATAAATCTAGCCCATCCAGGTGACTTTTAGTCTCATATACTAACTCTGAAGTTAAACAGTTTACAACACCAGGTACTGAGGAAACGATATTTAGCAATTCAGCTTCGGTATCTTTTTCCGAACTACTCCACGAGTACTTGATGATGATTGATTCAACCTTTGTTTCGTAGCAGGTTGTGCCCCGACCGAACAGTCCCATAGGTTGTATTAATGGTTTAGACTTGATTTCATATAATGGACCTTCAATATTTCCAAATTTGGGAAACCGGACAGCTTTATCCTCACCTTTCTGAAGGATTGACATATCGCGGCCAAGTTCCTCATTGTTCATCAGAAGATATGAGTTTATTGCCCGAATCAATATCTCCTTGTCATCAACAATACTTAATAAGCCTGAGCCATAAGCACCAGATCGATCAAAAAGCCAAAGTTCAAATTCTTCTCGAAACAAGCAGAATCCGTGCATAAATCGTCGCAAAGGCTGAGCGCAAAACACTTCTCGGACCGATCTTGATAGTCGGATAAACTTCTCTTGCCTTACATTTCCGCAGGGTGATTTATCGAGCTCGCCCAGCACATTTATGTCCTCCCCGTCGATAGGAAAATCCGCCGGTAAATAGATGCTTTTAATCATAAAATCAGTTTCGCAAAAGTCCGCCGTGTCTGCTGCGTGTAGCGTGAGCTCCGTACGACAATACTGTCCTCGTAGCCGGAAGCCTTCCTTTTCAATGACTACAGGATGTTCTATCGACGATTTTGGCAAGTAGCCTTGGAGCTGATCTAAAAATGTTTCCTTGAAAAAGTTAAGCCATTCCCATACCTCGCTTTCCATCATGTTTATCACAAAAACTTTCTCTTTCGTGGCCTGATGTAAATTCTTTAGATGACGAATATCTTCTTGCTTTTCCAACTTCTGTAGTTCTGTAGATCTTTTCTTCATCTCGGCGTCCTCATACTTTTGGTAGCTTTCCCAAATGCGAGAAGTTTGTTCGGACCATCTCTTATTGAGAAAGAAGATGCTCCAGAAATTCCGGAAACTATGAAATACGTGATTATCTATATCAAGCTTCAAGTCATTCTTCAAGTTTTCGGCTACCTCATCAAAATGCATTACTTCCGTGTAACTTTTAGCATATGAAGTGATACTATTTGTAGGAGAGGATAATGTTGTGCTCAGCTAAGGTAGCCCTGTTTCATGGATCCGTAAATAGAATTTTAATACTGATATTAATTCGTGATAAGATGAAGGGGTAGTTAATTAAAACCACCAATTTAATAATAGCTTCCTCTATACAATTAGTCATGTAAAATGTCATGTAAGGATATACAAGGGAGTCATGAAGAGAAGGACAAGAACACAGCCATCAATGCGAAGATATTGGCAAGAATTGATTACGATTAATTCCGGCTGGCAAATGCTTCTACTCTTGTATATAATAGTTCGGCGTGAGAGAGATTAACTCCTCACGCAACGTCTTCTTTATCTACCATTTACAATACATTTGTTTACCCATCTCTTCTTCGGGAAGACCATTTATCCATTGCCCAGTTCTTCATCAGCAAGACCCACGTGTAACACCTACTGCAACTAGTTGCCCATTCATCTCTTCCTAGAGAAGACCAGTCATCCCTTTGACCCATTTATAATCTTCATTTACCACCTAGATCTTCACTAGGCTATACAACGCACCCCGTGGAACACTGTCAAACCCTCATCCCTGAGATTACGTTGCGTGCTTATCCACGCCGTGCAATATGACTACCGACTACTCTCGTGGCTGGGCTCCCCCTACCACAGTCGAAAATTTTAAGGAACAGTTCGAAACTAATCCTGATTCCCTTTACGCATACATGAACGGTCACCTAAATCGATACCGCACTGAGAGAGATACTGTTCAAGGCCAGCTCATTGCCGCTCGCCAGGTTATAGAAAGTCTCGAGGGGCAAAACAATCAATTGAGCCTTGACCTAAATATTGCCAAGGCTAGTCATTCATCTACTTCCTCTAATTCAGCTGCAGTCGCCCGGGATTCAGCCCCAACATTCCGCTCCGAGAAATTCCCGGATCCCGAAAAATTCGATGGTACAAGGAGCATACTGCCCGGTTTCATCACACAATTACGGATGAAGCTCGAGGTAAACAATGACAGATTCCGCGACGAGTCTGCTAAAGTCATCTACTCGATTAGTCGGTTGGAGGGACAAGCTCTCGATCAGATTGTTCCCCTAGTTAAAATAAACCCAGAAAAGCCTTTCACATCTATCACTGCATTCTTGTCGTATTTAGAAGCCTCATTTGGAGACCCAGATCCTCGAGGAACTGCCCGTCGTGAACTGACTACCCTCAAACAGGGGGCTGGTGACTTTGCGACATATTACTCGAAATTTCTTCGAGTTATTAGCTACCTCGAGTACAATGAGGTGGCGAAAATTGACGCCCTCGAAAAAGGCTTATCAGAAGATTTGAAAGACGCCATGTCACATCGGGTGGAAACACCGGTTATCTTAGAGGACTACGCAATTTTACTCATGAGAATTGACAACCAGATTCGGGGCCGCAAGGCTGAACAAAAATACACTCGTGACTTCCCGAAACACCTTACTGATAAGCATCTTGCGCACCCATCACATGTTCCAGGTGGTCTAGCACCAATGGATTTGTCAGCAATGCATTCGTCAACTACCACTAGACCATCACCCGAAAAGCGCTACGTATTTGTCAATGGTTCTCGCAAACTTTCAGCAGGTGAAAAGCAATGGCGTCGAGATAACTTCCTCTGCATGTATTGCGCGGGGGCAGGACATGGCTCTGACAAGTGCCCCTCGGCGAAACACCCGAGAAATCAGGCATCAATTACTGGTGCTGTTTTAAGAACAACACTGCCCACACACCAGTCAGTAAGAACAGAGGACACCGAATCCGAGTCGGGTTTTCAGTAGTCCCGGATTTGACGAATGGCCCTGATCCGGGACCTCCCATAGTATCCACAGTAAAAGCTTTATCCAGGTCCGACCACTCGAGACCATTTGATGAAAGTAAGCTGGACGGCGATCATTTGATTGCAGCTTGTAAATTAAAGATGAATGAGAAAACTATCCAGACTCATGCACTTATAGATTCAGGTTGTTCAGGCTTTGCATTTATTGACGAAACTTTCGCGCGCCACCATAATTTCCCCTTATTCCCCTTAAAATTTCCTCGCAAGCTCCAAGTAATTGACGGCCGAGATATCTCCTCCGGTAACGTCACTCATTTCTGCCATTTACCATTAGAAATTGACTCCCACCATGAGAACGTAACATTTTTCGCCACAAAACTTGGTACTTATCCCATCGTTCTGGGGATTCCGTGGCTCCAGCTGCATGATCCGCTCCTAAAATTCAAAAATAATACAATTTCCTTCAATTCTCACCTATGTCGCTCGAAATGCAACCTCACTTCAAACCCAGTCCCGGTTAAAGGGCTTACCATTCAAAAAGGATCACATTTGACAAGTTCAGCAGCGTTGGTTAGCAATGCAAGGGCTAATACTATTTTTATGGATGCAACTATCAGTGAAAATATTAGTAAAAATATTAGTGAAACACCGAAAGAAAAGACACACAAAGACTGGAAGAAATATATTCCAGCCCAATATCATAAGTATAGCAATATGATGGATAAGTCCCTGGCAAATGTAATGCCACCACGCCGCACTTACGACCATAAAATACCACTAAAAAATGGTGAGGAACCCCCCTTTGGCCCTCTATACGGCATGTCAAGAGAGGAGCTACTAGAATTAAAAACTTATATAACAGAAAATCTTCAAAAAGGATTTATCCGAGCTAGCTCATCGCCCGCGGGAGCCCCGGTACTTTTCGTCAAAAAACCTGACGGAACATTACGTCTATGTGTGGACTATCGAGGACTAAATAATCTTACTATTAAAAACCGCTACCCACTTCCACTAATCAAGGAAACTTTGGATCGCCTTTCAAAAGCCAAATATTTCACAAAACTAGACCTCCGTCAAGGGTACAATCAGATTAGAATGGCAGGAGGGGAGGAATGGAAAACGGCTTTCCGGACAAGATACGGCCACTTTGAATATACTGTAATGCCATTCGGCCTTACAAATGCACCAGCTACCTTCCAACATTTTATCAACGATTGCATACGAGAGTTCCTGGATATATTCTGCACCGCTTATTTAGACGACATCTTAATCTACAGTGACTCCCTAGAAGAACATCAGGTACACGTATACAAGGTTTTGGAAGCTCTCCGGCGCGAAGGTGTTCTTTTAAAGCCAGAAAAGTGTGAATTTCATACTCAGAGCACAAAGTATCTAGGCCTCATTATCGAATCCGGTGGTATTAAAATGGACCCTAAAAAGATAGAAACCGTAAAAAATTGGACAGCGCCCAAGAAAATAAAAGATGTTCAGGCATTCTTAGGCTTTGCTAATTTCTATCGAAGATTCATACAGGGCTTCTCAGCACTAGCACTTCCCCTCACCAAATTAACACGCAAGGATACACCATTTCTATGGGATTCTCAAGCCGAAGCCGCTTTTCAAACTTTGAGAAATTCTTTTATTACTGCCCCAATTCTCGCACACTTTGACCCGGATAAAAAAATAATTATCGAGACTGATGCTTCTGATTATGTTGCAGCCGGCATACTCTCCCAATATGACAATAATAATATTCTTCGACCAATTGCATATTTTTCGAAAAAACACTCCCCAGCTGAGTGCAATTACGAAATTTATGATAAGGAACTCTTAGCCATCATTCGAGCGTTCGAAGAATGGAGGCCGGAGCTAGAAGGTGCTGTCTATCCTATTTCAGTGATTTCCGACCACAAAAATCTAGAGTACTTTATGACCACTAAACAACTCAATCGACGGCAGGCTCGTTGGGCAGAATATCTTTCGCGCTTCAACTTTATAATCAAATATAGACCAGGCAAGCAGGGGGGGAAACCCGATGCACTAACCCGAAGATCAGAAGATATTCCGGCTAATGGCGACAAAAGGTTACAACATCAAAGTCAAATAATTCTGAAAAAAGAAAATCTAGCACCGGAATTACAAGTGTTGTCAACTTTCATATCTAAAAAGCCTAAAAATGATGTATCACTTGAGGATCTCTTCCGTACTGGGTATGAGTTAGACCCAATACCACGACAAATACTAGGTCTGCTTAGAAATGGCGAACGACACTCAACCCAAATATCATTAGCCGAGTGCTCCGAGGTGGATCAAAAACTGACCTATAGAGATGCGCTATACGTTCCCAATTACGACCAACTTAAATTATATATCCTCAGGAACTATCACGATAGCCCGTCTGCTGGACACCCTGGTCGCGAAAAAACATTCGAACTCATCAGTAGGGACTACTTTTGGCCTCAGATGCGTAACTATATTTCTCGATACGTTCGCAATTGCCACACGTGTCACAGGTCTAAGTCTAGTAACCACGCTAAATATGGTGTACTTAGGCCTTTACCTATTCCACAACAGCCATGGCAAGAAGTATCAATGGATTTTGTTACGGGCTTACCTCTGAGCGAAAATTTCGACGCAATTCTAGTTATAGTCGACCGCCTAACAAAAATGCGACATTTGATACCCTGTACCACAAAAACTAGTGCAGAAAATGTTGCTCAATTATACTTGAGCCAAATTTGGAAGCTCCATGGATTACCGACGCACATTACGTCCGATCGAGGAACTCAATTCACCGCCATATTCTGGAAAGAACTCTGTAGGCAACTTGGTATTAAAGCAAGGATGTCAACTGCCTTTCATCCTGAGACTGACGGGCAAACCGAAAGATTTAATGCAGTAATGGAACAATATTTACGCAGCTATATATCATACCAACAAGACGATTGGGTCAAATGGCTTCCCATGGCTGAGTTTGCTGCCAACAATCAGGTTTCTGCAGCGACACAGGCAACTCCATTTTTTAGTAATTATGGATTTCACCCAAGATTTACAGTGTCTGTAAAAACACATAAAAAATCTCTGCCAAATCTAGACGCAAAAAATTTTGCCCTCAAAATGAAAGACCTGCATAATCATTTAAAAGCAAACATTCGATCGGCCCAAGACCAACAAGAACAAGCGGTAAATACCAAAAGAAAACCCGCCCCTCGTTACTTTGTCGGGGATCTGGTGTTTCTATCCGCAAAAAACATAAGGACAACTCGCAACTCTCGAAAATTAGACTGGAAAAAATTAGGCCCCTTTCCAATTAAAAATATAATATCTCCATACGCATACCGGCTTTCTCTTCCTAGCACCATGAAAATCCACCCAGTTTTCCATGTGTCACTCCTAGAACCTGCAGCAAGTGATCCAGTCCCAGGTCAGAAACAGTCACAGCCTCCACCTATAGTCATAGATGGAGAGGAAGAATTTCAAATAGAGGAGATATACGATTCTCGAGTAACAAAAAATTTCGGCCTTCAATACTTAGTTAAATGGGCTAGTGATAATGATCCAACATGGGAACCGGCCATAAATCTGGACGACGCAGTAGCAGTCGATATTTTCCATGAACACTATCCGACGAAACCGGGACCTCTCAAACAAACCGGAATAACTAACCCTCGCAGGAGCTCGCGATTAAAAGGGGGCCTACTTTCATGGATCCGTAAATAGAATTTTAATACTAATATTAATTCGTGATAAGATGAAGGGGTAGTTAATTAAAACCATCAATTTAATAATAGCTTCCTCTATACAATTAGTCATGTAAAATGTCATGTAAGGATATACAAGGGAGTCATGAAGAGAAGGACAAGAACACAGCCATCAATGCGAAGATATTGGCAAGAATTGATTACGATTAATTCCGGCTGGCAAATGCTTCTACTCTTGTATATAATAGTTCAGCGTGAGAGAGATTAACTCCTCACGCAACGTCTTCTTTATCTACCATTTACAATACATTTGTTTACCCATCTCTTCTTCGGGAAGACCATTTATCCATTGCCCAGTTCTTCATCAGCAAGACCCACGTGTAACACCTACTGCAACTAGTTGCCCATTCATCTCTTCCTAGAGAAGACCAGTCATCCCTTTGACCCATTTATAATCTTCATTTACCACCTAGATCTTCACTAGGCTATACAACGCACCCCGTGGAACACTGTCAAACCCTCATCCCTGAGACCCTGGCAGGTAGCGCATGGAGGGTGAGTGTGTCATCAAGGTACCTCAGGCATGGACAACTCACATGACATGTTTGGCGCATTTGTTCAGGGAAGGCACACTGCATGAGTAAGCATGATGGGCATATGATTCGCTGGTAAGCGAGTTCATGGGGTATAAAAGGGGAGTATTTCCCACTGTAAATTAGAATATACATCCATAGAGTCATCTACAATCCACTCTCAATAAAACATCATATCTTAGCCGTCAAACGCAAGTGTACGTTCCCCATTTCATATACCAAGTAAAACAGATAAAGGGCTTTGTTTTTGCTCAGCAATAATTATTTTGATGGATGGATCAAAGATGAATTGCTCATGCTTATTCTTGAAAATTGCATAAACCAGATGATCAAATCTATGGAGACTCATACAATTATCCATGATCTTGCCCGAGATTTGTTGGAACATATTGGTAAGTGTAGACATATCATGACTGGCGCGGAACGGAGTTGTGTAGAAGGCGAGTTCGGAATACATCCTCGCAAGAGCTGGTCTATTAGCTCAAATACCATAGCACGGAGGAAAGTATTACCCGTTTTAAGACTCGAACCTTGTCTGCAGTTGTTTCTGAATTCTTCGATGATATACTCAATAGAGTTCTCGACAAGGTAAGCGTTAGCTTCTGGGAAAAGATCCATACTGTAAGATAAGACTGATACTGTTTTGGTGTTGAAAAATTGGATGAAGCAAAGTACGTCGTAGTAGACTGTTTGTTTTATTTAACGTCTAGCTGGAGCAAGCCGGTGATCAAATCTCCCTAGCTACGTTCGATTGTGCAAGGGACGCCAGGGCTCACTTCACGGGCTGGCTGGGGGCGCCTACATCCCGAACAAATAGGAGAGTCTAGATTAAGGTTCGGGGTTTGTCGAGGCTTTGAGCAGCTTCTCAATATTCTGTCTGGGGAGAGATCTAACAACTAATGCGTGGGTAAATCTCATTTGGTTTGATGGCGATGCTTTTCACCCATCATCACATAATTTGTATTAACAGAAGCGCTGAATAAACATTGTTAAAATTTACAAGGGTTAAGCTAAGTGTACGCGGGTCTGAAGATGTGCGATTCGGGTAGATTTCTGTGAAGATTTTGTTTCCTGTAGCCGCTTGATGGGTCTAGGCGTCCCTTTTGCGGTGCCTTGGAAATTGGTGTGGCTTCTGAAAAGCCTCTGGGCGCTTTACGGAGGTTTAAAGGTGGCAGTCTGCACAGAAACATGTGCTCAGCGCTACCACAGCAAATAAATGCATCACTACGGAGAAACTGTTCATGGCAGTCGGCAGAATTAATATCTCCAGAGCATACGGCGGGGATATAGGCAAGACGGGGCCTGGGTGGTGAAAGCTCTTCCGGACATGTCTGAATTATTGAGCCAAAGAACTTTCTGAGACTGAGGGGATTGCGGTGGAGAATTTTTACAAACATTGAACGCCAAGGAGGCACATAGGATAATCTCGGCCCCTGAGTCCTCCAGAGAACGTTTGACGCCAATTAAATCTCCGCAGACAACATAGTATTGTGTCACTATTTACTGCCGCTAATCCAATTACTCTTGCAACTATTCCCACTTTTTTTATTATTAAATCGAGCGACAATCAATCAGCAATACGCCGCAGATGGTAGAGATTGAAAGTAAGAAAAACAAACAGAAAAACCAAAAATTATATTCTTACATTACTTTTGGCCAGGCATCTGCATGGCTCTACTTTCTTGTACCAGTTTCCAAAGGCCCGAGCAGCACTAGCTGTTCCAGATTTTTACTTAATCTCAGCCTCCATTTCACGGGAAGGTCTTGACTGAGGTCTGTGAGAGCCTGCTAGATTGCTGCAGACAAAGGGGTGTTCACGCCATATCCGCAAAGCAGTTGGGCTTTTCGTGATGGAATCGACGGCGGTAGGCTGCAAAGTTACCACGAGCTGATCGCGCTGCCGAAATCAGGCCAAAAGTTCTCCGAGAAAGAAAAGCTAGTTCCAATGGAGTTTTGCCGGACATTGAGATATTCAAGTATCTGTAGTGCTCTGGGACTTTTTTTGCCAGTGAAATGCTATATTTGCTCTAGAGCAATAGTTGAGCAGCCTCGTCACTCTAGATATCAGAGCGTTTACCCGCAGCGTGGCTTCTTGACAAGCGCTTTTTGCTAGAGCATCAGCTCGCTCGTTGCCTGTCATATCTGCATGTCCCGGATTCCATCCTACCATAATAGTATCAGTCGGTGCAACTAAAGTGCGAAGTCTTTCATACCAGCTGTCTCGTAACAATTGGAACTTACTTATCAGTTTAGAGCTTGAAGGAGTCAGATTGCCAATGTATAAACGGGAGGCAGCTTCCTCATTGTCCCGGCGGAATGCTGTTGTAATTCTAACAGTCCTGCACCTGTTTAACTATTCATGCACTATCTCGTTTTCGTTTCCGTTATTCGTTTTATTTAATACAGCACCACATCTATTTTCTGTAATATCAGCTATTCTTGGCGCTTAAGACAAGATATGTTGGAAATAATGGTATATGCATGATTCTGTCTTATACTCAGCTAGCTTGGGAATCTGCTGGTAGTCAAGACATACCTACAACATGATAATGTCGCAATACCGAGACATGGGCGCATACTCTGGTTTATTTCTAGATTCGTCCTACAAGGACTAATTACTGTATACATATGTAGTATTCTTCTCCTTTAGAAATCTTCAGTTTATTACATTTACTGAATATCTCGGAAGGTCCATCCATACCCTCTTCGCGTTACCCTACCAAGCTCTATTTGTTAGACCCTTAGGGTCAATAGAAAATGTAAAGTAAAGTCTTTTGGTGAAAGTCTGTCTGTCCTAGTCTAAAGAAAAACTACTGTTTATACACATGCCTCCTGAGAATATCTACGTGTGATGATGAAATGCATGAGCGTCTCCACACAGTGTATCAGGACTGATACTTTCTAGAAACATCGTGGTTCTGCTTGAGACTGCCCTTCAAACACCCAAGGAAATACCCCAACCCAAAACAGCTCTCATTGCTGCGTTACGACTCATCAAACGACGTAGTTTGACCAAAGCTATACCATTCATAAAATTCCATGTTTGACACTATTCAACTGCTTCGTTGTTTGGCCGATATCCTTCACCTCTCTATGCCATTTGAGCAATCCTCCACGATCCGTAACCTCACAATAAGGGGACTGAAAAGATTCAGTGGTTAAATAATTGGAGCGATACCGAGATAAATGAGCCCATCAATGAGTACGTCTTGTTGCAGACAATTATGTCTTTGCTACGTTCCGCGGCAGGAAATCGGCTGTTGCCAGTCCAACTGGCGCATGCAACAACCACTCCCACTACACTGAACCTAGATCCAGAGGCAATCTGCAAGCAGTGTGGTCACAGACACATGAACAAAGAATCTTTTAGAAAACACAGCGAGCATCTATCGAGATACAGTCGGGGTAGCATGAGCTCTAGTGGGGGGAGAAATAGAGCGGCGACTATATTTGATGTTGAAGATAGTGTTATGGTATGAGATAGCAGGGTAGTCGAGACTAGGGCATTGTGTGTGGCATATGGCCACAGCATATGTTACTAGTGTACTGGTTAGGCGAGCATTCAAGTAGTTTCGTAGATGTACCCGCCATAAATGGATCCAGGTTAAGTCTTCTACTTCTATCCATTGTCACGGTTTCATTACAAAATGCATGGGCGATATGGTAGATGCAACATTTTAATTACAATTCTCAGAAGAGAGAATTCCTGTAGTCAATGACTCCCCATATATACAGTCTGAGATATCCTCCAACGAGAAGGTTCTATCTGTGACTTGACAACTCAGACTCTCTGATAATCACCTAGAAGATCCCTGGTTCTCCTGTTGTAACGGCTGCTAAGCCTAAGAATTCCTGTAGCCTACGCTGGCTAGCGCAGGCAATAACATCTAGGGAATCTTCGGGGATTTTCGGGAAGGATCTCGGGATACACGGAGCTTAGAAGATTCCTAATGAACCTTCTGGAAGCATACTGAAGGTTCATGAGGATGACAGACATATTGAGAGTCTTCTAGGGAATCTTCGAAGATTCCATATTATTCTAGTCATAGGGGAACCTTATAGCAATATCTCAGAGTGTAGATATATTTGTAGTCTAGCTACAATAATTCTCTCTCTAGAGAATTATAATTAATATACTGTACTTACAAGATCGCCCAAGAATTTTGTACTGAAACTATGACACCTGTAACCCTCATGAACTCTCAGTATTGTGTGAATATTGGGGTTGGTAGAGTGACTATGGGGAAGTTTGCGGATATCAGTCACATGGCATCAGTTATTTTTAGTTTTTTTACTTTCGGTCCTAAACTAAAGCTATGTTTTCCACATTGGTTCAAGGACCGGTGGAGTCGACAGGGTTCCCTGTAATCTTTCCTACAGCCTAACTCTCTTTTTTGTTTTTTAAATCATTTAATGTGTATTCAGCTATCTAGCTATGACACATGACCGGCGCTATGTATACATGTGGGATGACTCTTTTGACGTTAGAGACACTCATACTCTGGATTCATTTGCAAATACCACTATGAGGTATGTTCGCTTACACAAATAGTCGACCATCCTCTGTTAGTACCCACCAAAGGGAAATTCAAAACCTTTGGTTATCCAAGCATGCCTTCGTCATCCATGCATACCAGCACCGCGAGAAATGTGGTTGTGTTTTGCCAGATTTGAACCAGCGATCTATTGTCTCAAGTGGGATATGTGTCCAAGCTATCCAGACTCTACTTGGCAGACCGGCCATGAAGGTGTACCACCGCACCATCCAACCATGGTAGTTTTTATTGTGTCAGCTGCACTCTCGCAGCCGAAGACTTGGCACGCACAGAGCTCAATTTGTAAAAGCTCCTTGCCAAAATTCAAAATTCTACGCCCGTCGAGACAGTATCTGTCGGTTCACAGGTGAATGGCGTATGGATAAAGGGCTTGTATTAAACATTTACTTCCAAAAGTATTGGTCAGCGCATCACGTGATATAATCAGGGCGCTAAGCTTCATTTTGTACTTTAGATATTAATGCTTGAGGAGGGATACAGAAGAGAGATAGACAGAATATATCACTTGTTTTTAGCACTTTTAAGGCATTAAACCAAGTGAACCCCGTTGTACCAACAGTATCCATCCTTTGCATCATCTTATCAACTTGTCCTGATCCCTCTCACATTCATCCCAAGGAATTGTCTTCCAGATTTGTGCGCCACTCTTTGCTTCCTCCGTCGGGTGTAAATATCGACGTAGGAGTGTATCTGGCGACCAGCTAAGGCCAGAGAAAGTCGAAAAGAGGTATGGTCATTGGAATGAGGATGTACTAGGTCGTACTTGTAAACTTGATGAGGCATAGGTAGGAATCGATTTCGTTGGGAGTGAAAGATTGATATGGTGGAGTAATTTGAATCATTGCCTCGTGGGCCAACTTGTTCGGTGTTGCAAAGTTTGACAGAACTTGGCTCTAGGAGAATATTTCACTCCCAGGTTCGTAGAGGACACCGCGTACAGGTGTTCAGTCTTGCCCTCCTACAGCCTAATTCGTTCCAACCTCGTGAATCGCTACCAAAAGTGAACCTGATTAAACAGAAACGAAAAATCAAGAAAATCAAAACAACTCCGAAAACCAGAAG